AACAGTCTACTTTTGCACACCACCCTAGCTGCGCAAACAGAAGGGTATATAAGCTGGGAACTTTTCTAGCTGAGTTAGTTTTTGGATTAGTTTTTGTAGAGTTTTGGAGTTTTTGAGGAGTTTTGGAGTGAGTTGGAGTTGGTTGAGTTGAGTTAGTTAGTAATTGAAGAAATGTATTTGTTGAAGTTGTTAAGAATTTTACTTTGGTTTTGACTGTTGATAGAAAATAAAATGATGCATTATTTTGATTTACTGCAATAAATATAATCCTGCTTTCACTTGGACTTGACTTGTTCATTTTACCAGCATAGAGAAATGGTTTACTTTTAAGCGAAAAAAGTGAATAAACAAAGCTTTTCACAAAAAGAGAAATAGTTTTCGTAACAATATTTATGACAGTATACTAGTAGTTATTTTCTTTCAGGAATACGAATGTGAACTGTTGTCGGCATGCAAGAATGATGATTTGAAAGAGATATTACTAAAGAAGGCAATAAAATTGTTCATAACTAAATGCATCGAGCTTTGCTTGATGATGACAACAACTGATCCACCTATTGTTCTGTCCACTTCGGGAACCATACAAAGAACTTGACTGAAATAGATAATGATTGTGATGGTCGTAATGTTGAGAATCAAGTGCAAAATGTTAATAAAAAAATCGCGCCTTAATAAAGAAAATGCCTCTAGCATAGACAGACAGAAGTGTATATTCGATAAGGACTCCTTTAAAGAGTATACTTGTCGAGGCAAATATATGGATTTCGTCGTTTGGCCTGCATTATTTTTACATAAAGGAGGTCCCTTGCTTAACAAAGGCGTTGCACAAGGAAGAAAGACTCATTAATGTAGTTGAAATGCATTACTGATGAAAATGTCAAAAACTCAAATACGAGGGGTGTTCGGGAAGTTTAAGGACTTAAATACAACATCAACGTCATTTCCTGAAAATTCTACTCGGAAATCGTTACAATTGTTTGAATAACAACGGTTTTAACATCACTGGTGCTTACACAAATTAAGAGAAAAATGACGTCAATAGGCGATGTTGAAGTCAGGGCAATCATCAAGTTTTGTGTAGGAATAGAAAAGACACCAACCGAGACGTATAAATGATTCAAGCATCTAGTACAACAAAGAAATGCTGTAGATCGCTCGTTTTTAAATCAGCCTCCTGGGATTCGAGACGCTCGAGCATCCACCCTATAGCCCAGACCTCGCGCCGATGGATTTCCGAGTTTTTCCGGAAATCAAAGCACAGCTGCGTGGTCGACGCTTTTGATTCCGGGTTGGAATTACAAATTGAAACCCAGAAAATAGTTTCGTCATTCGACAACATCTGGTACGAGGACACGTACGACAAATGGGCCAAGAGGCATAGAAAATGTATCGCTGTGAATGGAGATTACGTCGAGAAGTGAGTCGATATGACGATCGGGGAAATTTGACGTTAACATATTTTGCACTGACGTGACGTTAGCGTGCTCCAGGTATGCTTCGGTGTATGTTTTGTTTTATTTGTTATTTACTTATTGTTTACTGTATTTCATTGTAATTTTTACAGCTGGCTGTAAAAGAATTAAATATTTTATGGTGTTTTTCTTGTTTTTCAATTCCTATTATTTATCAAATTACAGCAAAAGTCATAAAACTTCCCGAACACCCCTCGTACAAATGTAAATGTGTTTTTTTTTTTCTGCAGCCAACAGATTTTTTTAAAGTGCAGGTCACGTGTTGTATTAAATATCTTAATGATTTGAAACGAATTACTTTTATTAAAGTCAACGATTACTGGATCAGTTATTAGTATACTAGTAGTTAATACGAATTTGTTCTGTAGCCGATTTTGGTGACAGTTAAAAGCTTATTGTATTGAAACACTCACATATCCCTTTCCTAGACCTAACCAGTACTCAGCAAGAGTGTTTGCCACTGAAATTCTTTGTACTCACACGGCCAGCAATCCTAACGTGAAATGATGCACATTCTTTAAATGCCAAATGGCAGTTTCCAGATTACGTATATCGATACAAGTATTAGATAGTGTGTATTCTTAACACATAACCATTGAAGTTGTCCTGCTTTTGATTTGGATCGGTCCATTCGAAGTTTGAGGGATATTAAGTTTGATTAATATCAACGCAAAGATACAATTCGGAACTTCCAATAGAAATTTGTCCGACGGGTGTTTAAACTGACTTTGATGTACGAGTATTTTGATGACACAGGCTTTTCACGTTCTGTTCCAGCAGCTATATGGTAATGCTGATGATATTGATTCGAGACAAATACAATTATTATTAATTTCGTATTTATAACTTAAACATAATCTCAACGCATTCAAATTTCTTAAAACAGAATGGTTGTGCAATAAAAGATAGATAATGATGCTATGTCTTGTTGTAATTTGAGATCTGAGGATATCATTCAAATGTCGTTTTAGGCATGCCTATGGCATATTTGCTTTTCTTCATCTAAAATCAACATCGAGCTACCGGTTATGGCATGATCTGGAGATCAGTGTATAGATTTTATTAGATAACATGTAGTTTTGTTCTTAGAAATTTGTCTACAGCGCATATGTAATTATAAAAAAGAGTTGATAATGATAATGATAAATGTATTTGGCCATCACAAGATGAAGCAAATATATATTAAAACTGAAAGCATTTCAAAATAGATATACAGAAGAACGTCGGAATTGAAGAGACTTGTGTAAAAACGTCGACACACCGGGACTTTGATTCATAAATCGATCTCAATATAATAACAAAATTTCGAAATTAAGGGCTGTGCACTTTTAACGAATTACGGAAGGTGTAGCTTAAGGAAATGGTTATAACTGTATAGTACCGGTAGATATATCTTGTGTGATCATCAAACGATATCGGGTCTTGGAAGTTGACATGCTAATTACCTCAAGTGATTTGAAGGTGCATGAAGAAAGACTATAGATATTGTAAAAATTACAGATTGTCATTTCTTAGCTTGTATCATTTGTTGCATAGTTCATAAAATTGTTAAACATGTAGTTATTTACCTTGTTAACTGTCAGTCTTTAAGAAATATCTTACAGTGTCACTAACTATGTTACTTAATCTCATGTATTTAATGATTTCCTCGTTACATTTACACAAATTCATGGAGGTCGACATTTTTGTTGTTGTTGTTCTAGTTGGTGACTGCGATTTTTAAGTTTATGTGATAATTACTCATTATAGGACTGGCTTAACCAATAGAAAATATACCTTAATATTGTTTTGTCTATGAAACACTTCACGGTCACTCGAAATTATGAATTATTGTTATATTTAACGATTTTGCTTTTGAATAGCAAAGCTTCATTTCGAGCGTCTGTAACTCAGCCACCGTTCAGTAATCTATATCGATGATTATATGAAGATCAGCTCCTTTTCGTCATAGTGTTGTATATCAAAATGATTTTTATTTTACCAAGAATTGTATTTAATAAGTTTTACATGTATATTACTTACTGTTGATGAGTAAAAGGTCATTATATCATGAGTGGAGTCTCAGAAAATGAACGATGGCCTGTAATTCCTGCCGTGATTTCATTGGTTAACGGTCACCAGACAGTACTTAGTTCATTGGTAAAAAGGGTGACACCCCTCTTTCTAAGACTCCATCAATTGGTTGTTTTAGATCACGTGAACACAGATCAAAGCTTATAAAACGGGCGGCGACCAGTAAAATTCAGTTCCGGCAATATTTGAAAAGTCAAAGAGTATTTATACTTGATAGTATAAAGTAAGCCCGTCTAATCATCCGTCAAAATATGTCCGTTTTTATTAGTATTCGAGTGGTGTCCACTGGTATTAGTATCGGATAAGAATCTATTGACATTAATCCGTTAATAAACTATCGTCTGCAACATTATACTGTATAGATTTATTTAGATGCTGAACGTTATTTATAATTATTAGACAACATCTTCGTATAATTATAGATTTTAATGAACTGTTAAAACAATAAAACTATTGTTAACTTTAAAACTCTTCTTGTTAATTCTGACTACCGCCGGCTATTACAATATATACTCCTATGTCCTTCAAGATTGTTCCTACTGGGATTTTTACACAATAGTCATATGGAACTCATTTCAATATCTATTGTCTGTAAGTTTATTGTATGATCGACCGGATACCTTAAATATTACTTATATCAAACAGATCGTACACAGAAACCGTAGCAGCATATCTCGGAATAATAAAAGTTAAATAATGCAAAATATCTTCAAAACTTTTCGTTAGCTTTTATTGTTGATTGATCTCTGAATTAAAATGTTTTGTTTTTTTCGTAGAAAATGTCATTCAATTATACATGTACCTACACAGATATATCCGCCACCGGAAGGACCTATTTTGAAGCGCTTATCACAATGATGCTTAAAGATTTCCGACGAAAATGCCGCAAATCTATCAATGTCACATTTATCCTATTGTATATGCCACAACCCACCCCTGTGTCACTTTACAATAAGTAAACATGTATTCAACTTAAAGGAGGTGAAAGTGGTGATTAAATTACCGGTTATTGTGAGGTTAAAGTGACTATTGTAAAAATAAACTTAAGAATGTTTGGATCTTAAAAGTAAGTAAAATCCTTAAAACGCATATTTAAATGGATTAAGCTGTATTAAAAGGAAATGGTAATTGTTCAAAAGATATTTTCTGTTGTTGTTTTATTTTTATCATAGCCATTAAAATATATACGAATGCTATTAGAAAGTAATCATTTAAACACATTAGTGTAATAATATGTACCTGAATAACTTTTCTTTAGGACTGAACGCCAGTAGCTAACCTGCAAGCGACCCTCCATTGCCACCGATTAGGCAACTTACTAAACACGAAGCGTTTAAAAACGATTATTTCCTTTCAAAAATCATTTGGTTTATATAACCAACTTAACGCTTCAACATTGCATATGCTATATTAAGTTCAATTTAATCGTATATTAGTAACAAGGACTTTGACCGTAAGATAGGCTTCAATTCAGATAATCGTATGTGGCCATCGTGGAAAAGTGTATACATCGTCAGCTCGTTCAACAAATCAGGAAGTTGATTTAAGCAATACGTCTCAAAATGGGCAAAAAGAAGACAAACATGGTAAAATAATAGCAGTTAGTGACAATGATATATAATATTCATTAGGAATTTATTGTAAACATAACGTATAACGACAGTAGTTAAATTACTTCCTGTTTCGATTTGCAGAGTAAACCGAAACAAAGATCCAATAACCAACCGTCGAAGAATGCCACAAAAATGAACGAAGATCCTGAAAACCTTCCAGATGGAGGAAATAAAGATCGGAAAACAGCATGTAAGTTTGTAAAAATATATCAAAGCTTTATTAAGTGAAGTTGGTCAATTTTTGGCAGTCATTATCAATAGGTTTGTCCAGGTTTCATTCTACAGTTTCTAATAAAAATCAGACATATATTCTCCTAATTGTATACGGTATTTTACTTTATCATACTCATTATCACTTGAGTTATTGAAATTAATTTAAATAGACATTGAATTAATCTATATAGACATTGAATTAATCAATGTAGACATTCAATTTATCAATGCAGACATTGAATTAATCAATGTACACATTGAATTTATCAATGTACACATTGAATTAATCAATGTACACATTGAATTAATCTATATAGACAATGAATTAATCTTTATAGACAATGAATAAATCTATATAGACAATGAATTAATCTATGTAGAAATTGAATTAATCTATGTAGTCAATGAATTAATCTATAAAGACAATAAATTAAACTATATAGACATCGAATTAATCTATGTAGACATTTAATTTATCTATATAGACAATGAATAACAATGTACTCTATATAGACATTGAATTAATATATGTAGTCATTGAATTAATCTATACAGACAATTATTTAATCTATATAGACATTATCCCTAGTAAAATACTATTACCAGAGACTTGGGTCATTGTATCTATAGGTTTTTATTATACTGTGAATAAGTACTCATGTAACAGTTTAACGACATTGGTAGAATGTTATAAAACTTATAATGAGCATGATATTATGCAAAAACTAAATTAACATAAGGGAATTTTCCGATATACATGTTTAAGGACACAACCACTTTCTGTCGTGAGCCTGGTTTTGTGTGCCTTAAAACAATACAACATTATAAAAAGTTTTAGTCACATGGTTCACTTCAAAGTAAGGAGAACCCATTGCCCTATGGGAAATTAACATTACAAAAAAGTGAGAGGTAATAACATATAATATTATATGATACAATGGAACAAAACATTTTCAGTAAATATCACACTTTATTCTGATATTCAGGGTACAAAATACATATACATTCAGTACTGTACTTGAAATTACAAAGTTTTGTTAAAATGTCCAAAGATGTGAAATAAAGTGGTCATTTAACATTTTTGAGTACACTGCTTAATCTTTTTGACTTGTACACAGCTGCAAAACCTATATCAGACTCAGCTTCGTCCAATATATTTTGACGAGGAGTACCAGGTCTCCAAATTTATAACATTTAACCCGTTGTTGCAGGATTCTGAGTACATGCATTAATAGCAGTGAATGTGCATTGTTTTACATAATGGTACAAATATGATATCGAACTTAGTGACTTTTCCTTCATGTAATATCTTCTAGTCTCAGAATATGGTATATATAGTTTGTATAAACGTAATATACCTGAACTTTTAATAGATGACATGCAGATACAAATAGTGATTTTCAGGTTTTTGTAACTTTCAACATTCAAGTTCTTCGTTTTTTAAGGTAATGAAGAAATGTAGGCAAACATAACTGGTAACCAATGTAAACACCGGTCAAATATCAAATCAAATTACCTGAAATTGGTGAATACTAGGCAGTAAATATGAAAAGCAATTGGCACGAGGAAGGTACATGAGCTAATAAAATGCGGTCTGAACACGATGTGATTTTGCCTTCAGATATTTTTATTCAAGTGAAATGTAATTGTTTGAGTAGATTGATATTGTATCTTAGAGCTGGCGAGTAGATTGACGGGGTTAGTACTAGTATCAAAGTACTGTTTCAGAGCATCAGTAGGAAGATGACGGGTTGCGCAAATATTTAAATTCAAATGTGTTTTGTAAAAGGTTCATGATACATGAAAACATAAGTTCTTTTCCCGGTTAAGGGCACTTAAACTTGTGTCTATGATCGAGCAAACATATGTGATATCTGCTGGCTATTACCTATCTCATTTATCTACGGTATCTTCCATTACAAACAGGATTTTGAATATTGTTTTATACATTACATAAATAAAGTGTCTTTCTAACTATTTAATGTTGCATACTCTTTATCTGAACATATAAATATCATGATAAATTCACACATTTAACTCTGGTTAGTTGAAACAAATATTTCACAATATATCATTGCTTTATCTTATTAGTATACATCTTTATGACTTGGCGATGTCTATTACAGATAATTTAATTCTAAAAACTATTCTATACATTTCTCGTAAAATCATCAAAAAGTTAGTATTACCAATGAATGTTTCTTCAGGGAGGAAAATGTATTAACCTGTTTATGTTAAAACAAAACATCGGAGCATCATATCTCTAGAAACGTGTGTCACGACCTAAATGTTTGACCCCATATTATCGATCCATAAATAACACAATTAATATATTTAACGTTCTATCATCCAAAAACATGACATATATTATTTCTAAATTATGAAATAACTCTATATTTTGAATAGAATGGCCTAAAAGCGTTTCAAGGCTAATTTAAAACGAATTAGGAAAATATCGTATGCTTTGCCATGAAAATGTTGGAAAATAACATGTGGAAATAAATGCTGATAATATGCTAGCTCATGATAAAAATAGACCTTAAAGATCCTGTAAGTTAATTTTGTATGGTTTTATATCATAAGTATAATGCTCAAATGAATATTTATCAATATTGTAAGTTCCAAAAACCATTATTTGTAAAGATTCCATGGTAATAAAAGGAGGTAATTAGAAATTTATTTTCTATCAAGTCTAAGTCAAAATTTTCAATAAGAAATGAATGCATATATTTTAATGATTACATATAATGTGAACAATTATTTGCAAAACATATTTTACATATTCTTCGATGAAAATTGTTAACAAGCATAATTATATACATATATAAAATTTCACTTAAACGTGGTAACAACCTTAATTAAACACATACAGGATCTTAAATCGTTTTAATTTCAATAAAACATTTTTCTCTGGACAAAATAATTTTCTATCAATGATGCTACATGCATATTATTGCATAATAAAAATTTCATTTCAACAAATGGGTTATTTTCATTTTTACTTTATCAATATATAGCATCTGTCCTTTAACTGCACAGAATAATAACATGATAATTAATATACTGTCATGGATACAGTGTTTTGAATAAAATGCAATCGTAATGTACACTTTACCATACTGTGACTTAAATCAAAGTGTGAAAATCAAAGCCTCTTTATCTTCCAGCTCCACGGACAGTTAACTGTTTAATTTATTTTGAATATATATCCGATTTTAAAAGTCGTATGTATCCTTCATTTCAAGTATAAATGTATGGTATTATATAACACAAAACCTTCATGTCATGTTTGTTAGTTTAATTCGTAAAATCTAATTTGGATAAGATATAAATTATTTTATAAAATACTAGTTATGCATCAGGAGTTTATTATGTAAAACTGTTTGTCTTTATAGGGTGGAAGTATATACGACATCCATCAATGATCATAGATTCAATCACCAGCAGTATTATTTGGATACAGGTACTTGTGTACCAGTAAGTATACAAACTTTTCAAAGAAGTGAAATGGATTTTTGCAGTTGTCGATTTTTAAAAATAATCAATTGTTACTTAATATTTTCAAAACTAAAATATACTCCTTTGATAGATTTTATCTGTAAGTTAGTTAGTTCATTTGTGTCAGCTTAGACGCTAAGCTACAAGAAAAATAGATTTTACAGTTGTCTGTATTACAGTGTGAAAAGCTAGCCGATACTTGTCGATCTAAGCACATCAAATGAGGCCCAACCATCACCTGACCACCTGGTAGAGACCAGCTAGAGACTCAAAACCTGTGCCGACATTTATTCTTTTAAGCTTTCGTTAGGTGGAAAAATGCATATGTAAAATTGTGTCTCTGAGTATACTGAGGGGATAGCCGGATAGAAGGCTTGGCCTTATACGTTGTTTAATATCTTTTAAATTGTTGCTTTGGTTGAATGGTGAAAAATCTCTCTTTTCAGGAAATGTGCTAGAAGGATGCCATTGTTTCTGAAAAGTAAAGCAGACGACCTAGATCAACAAGTAAAGAAACTTAATGCAGTGATTGCTGAAAACAAAACGGAAAGGACCAACATTTTGGAAGATAACAGAAATCTTAAAGAGAGGAACTCCGAACTTAATGACAAAAACAACAAGCTAATGGACAAAAACGAAACAATTGAAAACGAAAAGAGGGAACTACAAGAACACAATTTGGAACTCAGAAACGTAAACGACGAACTAAATAAAAACTTCAAGAAACTTGAAGGAAAGTATAAACAGTTGATAGAAACGAAAGAAGCAGTGGAGATTGAAAACCAGAAGCTAAACGAATTCATTCAAGATCTTTCTAAGAAGGAACAAAAATTTAAAGCGGTGAACGAAAATGAGAAATCGAAGAACACACAATTAGAAGGTGAGCAAATGAAACTTCGGAAAGAAAATGTCGGACATATAAATTGTAACAAGGAACTAACAAAGAAAGTTTCTGACATGGACCAAGAAATTAAAAGTCTTGAAGAAACGATTAACATACACGTATCTGAAATCAATCAAGCATCTGACCACATTCATTCCCTGGAAAATAAGATTGAATGTAAAGAAAACAATATTCAAGAGTTGCGTGGATACATCAGTAGTTTGACTGAAGAGAATAGAGTTCTAGAAGAAGAGAAACAGGACGCTCTTAGAAGGTATCGTTGTGATTTGTTATGATCTAAGTCTGACTGTTAATGACACTTTTATCAGCTATTTGATTAATTAACATTTCTGAAATAGCATGTAACTTCGCCATTCCTGTAAAAAAGGATTATTTACTTACTTTATTATCTGTTGAAAGCAAAGGTAAGTCCTAAGAAAGAAATCTATATGTAATCTCATATATGGACATACCTTTTTTAACAATAAGGTAATTGGTTTATTCAGATTAAGTGAGCAAGTGTCAGTCAAACTTCGGGACAATAACCCTAACATCGTGGACCTGAGCGACCCGTGTCGTGCGACGAAACTGGCTGTAATGTTAGGAGAGTTGTTTGAAAACGAATGGACTAATGCCTTTAGTGTCCTTGAAGATGACCTAACAGAGGAACATGCAATTATAGTGCTCCTTGATACTGTAATGGTATGTTCGTCATTGGTTTTTCAGTCACCATAATATTAATTCACAAACATATTTTATGTTAATATATTCTATCTAGTATATATAAATATTCCCATTAAATGAGAAAACAAAGCTTTTGATATATTCTGATCGGACCATACTTCCAATTGATATGATCACATACACGGTATTTGTATCATGAACCTTAGTTTTGAAAGGGCTGTGCGGTGTTTAAAATCAAATCATCGTAAAAGTGTCGAAACAATTATGCTGTTAAGTTCTTTATATTATAATGTATTAGCAAAAGGAAATTATACACGATATTTACACATTTCGATATATGCATAATATTACTTACTAACAGAAATGTCCGTATAAGCACGTAGATATCCACGTGATTATATGGCACGTAGGTTTTCTGTATGAAATTGTTTTCTTCATATTTACACCTTTCTTGCAGTTAGCGTATAACTTTTGTGAACAGACGGTCGACGAACCATGGAAAACACTAGTGTACTGGTTTCTTGATGAGGTATCTCTTTAAATATATTTTCTTATTAATATTTAACCAGCCTACATTGGAAACGTAAACTTCCTTGGAAAAGACAACATTTTACATGGATAAGACCTAGTCACGTATGAATGAAAAAGCGAAAAGTGCACCCCGAAAATATATCGTTCTCGTTATATATTATAAGTAAAATTTGTTAAAAAACATAAAATAAAGTTATGCAAAATAAAACGGATTTTCTTTTGTTGCAGAATCTTCCCGGAGCTCAGCAAACATCAAAATGGTTAAAGGACAGCCGAAAAGTCAATGTTCAGAAAAAAGTGCCTGAAGTCGATAAGGTAATGCTAAATATGATGTTTACGGTATTTATTTGTCAATGTGTCTTTTTTCTTATTATTAATTTATTCATGAAAACTCAAAGTTAATTTGACTTCACGGAGTATATAAACTTTTGGGGTATAAAGCTGGATACCGACATAAGATATTCAAAAAATACAATGTTCTTAAATATCATAAATGATTTGATTATTTACATGTTTAATAGAATCCCGATTTTTTTTTTCTATAATTAAGTTGAGTCCTTTTCCAAATACATTGTACATGTATTTTCATTTATATCTGTTTTATTTTTCTTTTACATAGATTTTCACTGAGAATGTGAGTAGAGTTTGTGATGACGATAAGTTGAAATCACTTCTGTCCAATGAAAATCTTAGTACATATTTCACAAAATGTATCGAGCTTTGTTTGCTGATGGTAACAACTGATCCACCTGTTGTATTAGTATGTCCCGGATGGAACGTCATTCACATACAAGATCTACTGTCAGAAGAACAAGGAAACGATGACAAGAAACAAGACATAAAAGAAGACCGAACAAAAAGCGAATACGTTGCTACTGGCAACGACAATAATGTAGTCGACGCTGCTCTAAGTTCAAGAAATTCACATGATACAAGCAATGCTAGTGAAGATTCGGAGAAGAATGCAGAAACAGTTGTAGAGAATTTGCCATTTGATAGTGACCTATTTGAAGTGTACAAGTATACTCGTCGTGGTAAATTTCAAGACTTCATAGTTTGGCCAGCAATGCGACTTCACGAGAATGGTCAATTGCTAAGCAAAGGTGTAGCACAAGGATCTAAGAATAGAAGCAAGAGTCATACAGCGTGGAGTTGGGTACATTGTTAATAGAATATATGCACTGTTTTAATTCATTTATCATAAAACCTTATTGATATTTGGATTATGACTATGCGTGAAATATGAATAAATTGATGTACAAAGATCTTTTTTAGATCATTGTCCAAACTGTCTTAATCTTTTAATTTATTGGATTATATATTTATAATGATTAAGCTAATTCATTATAATGAATATAAGCAAAATCAGCTTAACTTTACCTGATGTAATGATATCTATTAAAATACCAAACAAATATTTAGTTGATAAGTGTACAACAGCGAAGAAACAAAATTAAAGGGACATTATGCCACAGAAACGAACAAATTCTTACTTGCAAATGTTTAAATAATGTTTAATAGCATATAACTTGACGAAAGAAGCGTTGAACTTGAAATAATTTGTCATAAATGTAGCAAAATGTAAACAAATTGGTATTTGACTCCCATACAAAATAATAAATGACTTTACTTGTACTTATTACCAAAAACAACATAAGATAATCCTTTCTTAAAACGTAGTTATACTTGTATATAAATAAAAATCCACAATGCTTGGTAATAGGATATTATTTAATTAATTGTGTAGAATGGGTTATTGTCTTCTAGAAAAAAAATGTGTCGCCTGAAATATCTATGATACCAGTTTTAATTAAACAGGATATATCAAAATTGTTAAAACTCATTTATATTTAAAAAAAAACGTATTATTTTAACTTTATGGAACAATAGGTTTGAATTAATTTTTTTTCTTTCTTTCGAGAAATGAACTATTATCCACAAAAGAAGCCGAGACTCTTTATAAAAAAGATTTTGTAGAACGTTTGTAAAGTTCTTTTTGACAAATACTTAAGCGAAAGTTCACCATATTGCAATTTTTATTTTGATCTAAGCAGAGTATTCAGGAATCTCGATGCGACTCGTCGTTTCTTCTTTACAACTTGAAACAAGGCAGTCATGGGAACATTTAAAATTCATTGACTGTCATTAGGCCTTGAATGTGATCATTTGTGCCAAGTTATTTGAGAGAAAATAATTCAGCAGTTTAAAACCTATGGAGCGGGCATGGCAATGTTATAGACGGACAGATTAACAGTCGGGTGGACAGACAGCGGTGCCATTCTTATATCCTGTTGTTCCCCGCTAAGTGGCAAGGGATCAAGGAAGGTAAATTCTGTATTTTCATATTAGCACCTTTGTATTGCTTACACACATAACGGCTTTCTTCGAAACTTTACAGAATTATATTCTGGCGACTTAAAAATCGTCGTGATATTCAGCCCTCGTTTGACTGAACATGGCTAAATTACAAACTTTCAATAAGTTAACGTTAACTCTCTGTGTTAAAGGATTATACGGATTTTATTTAACTGGCAAATATAGTCTTATTTGCTGATATAAACAATGTACTTTGTGTGTTATTGTTCGGTTTTTATAAAATGAGATATAAAGAGATTAGCTGATTATTGGATGAATATACATAGACGCCAGCAAAACGATTGTCGTATGATAATCCTATTATTCCCTGCGGTCTGGAGACCGCAGGGTATTGGTACGCGTTTAACTTTTGAGGCATGGAGGAGCACGTGACCTGTTTTCGGTACATGGAGGAGCATGTGATCTGTAAACCGTACATGATTGGTTAATAGACCTTTTCGAAAGCCTAGCTAAATACCGTTTGCCGGTACGTTACGGATTTACATGTAGGGAATTAGTCCGAATTACACCTAATTAAGAACAAAAAACTATTACGGGATATTTCTAATTTTCTATAATTATTTTACCGTTTAAGGTGAAAAAACTTGAAATCAATGTAGTGTTTGAAAATTATCAATGTTTCTTTAATATCTATCAAATTTTACAAACAATAAATTGTTTATACTGAAAATCTACAAAATTAAAATATTCGTAGTGGCATCTGCCATAATAAATAGAGATATTTTCTGCGTAAACTTGTGTGTTTACTTTATTTATTTTTTGCTCGGAATTATTCATAAAATGGTAGGCCTATTTATGCATTTTCTTAAAAAGAAATAACTGTTTTATGTTCAACCTTCTCCGGTCTTCAACGGTCACCAGTTTCCAAAGACCTTCTTCTATATTGATTGTTTTTCAATTGTCAACTATATTCCTGATACACATGTTTATTTATCCCCCCCCCCCCAAATAATGTTGAAAATAGTTAAATGAAATATCTTTATATCATTAAAATGTTCACCGCAGGAAACCCTTTTCTTGTGATGGTCTTGCATGCATTACTTATTAATAGTATGGTTTTTACTTCAGTATATCAAAGGAGGGTGCACAGAATACAAAAAAATGGCTCAAAGACAGGCGTAAATTCATTGTCTCGAGTATTCAGAAGGTAAAGACTTGGATATTATTTCTCACTGTATTGCTAAATAATCTGGGTATCGTTTCATCGAAAATTCTCAGTCTAAAATCAATTGAGAAGATTTTGTGTTTCAAAGACAATGTCTTAACTTAATACTCCTATGTTTTAACTCCTTCAATTTCTAAAATAGCAATGCAGAAAAACATTAACATATTACGAATTAAAGTGCGTACTACTGCACTCCGATTTATTAATATTTCTCAGCAGAATTACTTTCGTATTTGACTGAAGATAAAATAAAATGTTTATTAAAGTGGTGTTAAGATGTAGTCCAAGAAATTTGTGAAAAAATTGTGCACCTTTTGTGAAAAGCATGAAACTTGGCATGTTGTCAAGAAATGGTATTTCAAGTTATTTCAGCCTGGGATCCACTTTTTAAAAATCCAAGATGGCCGCCAAAATCCAAGATGGCCGCCAAAATGTAAAATGTACACAGGGCATGTCAAAATGAAGTTATTTATGACTAGAAAATGATATTAATTGACATTATAGGTCAAAAATAATAATTTCTTCGAAAAATGCTTAAGTAGCATTGGTAGAAAATTCAATATGGCTTCAAAATCCAATATGGTTGCCATTAAATGATGATATTTTGACAATTTTTTATAATAAAGGTAGTTTGTATCAACAACACTTTTCATACATGTAACAAACTAAAAAAGTGGCATTCCTGCATAAAAACTGCATACACAGATGTACATTTACATAGAAAAAAAACTTGCATTTATGGATAAAACCATGCAAGCACATTATTTAGCTTGATATTTCAAAGAATAGGGAGCAAGTGATATTGTACACCAAAGGATTCAGCTTTACAAGTTTTTCATGCAAGTCGGTTTTGTAAAAAATACATAATGGAATACGTTAAACCCTAATGCACTTATTTTTAGCATAATAGAAGGTCACCGTTAAAGGTCAATAACTATATCATGGATTTTGACAGAATTATGTCCCTTTTAAATATAGAGAATTCTTCATAATCTAGGTTCTTGTTTAGCTATAAAGCACTGAGAACAGTCTAACACTTTATGATGTCCTACCAATAGCTCTTGTCAATGCGCATGATTCTGATACCATGCAAAGCCGCTGATTTTAATAATGATCCCCAGTTACATGTACCTTATTATCAAAACATAACACACAAAATTAAAGTTAAAATCAATACAAAACTAGTTTCTTTATGCGGAAAACAACATATCGTAAAATCACCGAAACAGAATGACTAATACATTATTTTGTGCATCAACATCTACAGAAATTGAAACCTGGGCCCATAGAATGAGGGCTTAGAATGCGTCTTCACGCTTCTGTAGATGTTAATGCATGAAAAGTATGAATTAATCCTCTATTGTATTGAATATTTTAGTGCACACAATTCCTTAGCTTATTTGAACCAAATGTTCAGTATGGTTTATACTAGTTAGTGTCGGAGACTTCAGGGTTTCTTTTCCTGTCAATTCTTTTTAATAAATGTAGTTTGTATCATCCTTGTGATCTCTTACTGCAGCTATGAGTTCTTTTTCATTAGTAATTAAAGCAGCATATTTTGTGTCATAGATAACAGAATCAGGCTCTTATTATGTCATTATTTTGGCAAGGTCTTGTGAATAAACAAGAAAAACAGAATGATATTGAACAAAATATCTTGGTTTTTCTGTAATCAAACTTAAGTGTTTGGCATTATTAAGATTAGTAATTCGTGACTTTATATGAGATCAAGTTTAGACTTTTGCAGCTCTTTCTATTTGATAATTTTGATATGACATTCTAATTGTAAGATTGAGATACTAACTTACTGACTTACTGCGAATTTCGGGGCTGCATTCCAGGGGCAACGCTCTTAAATTTCTTGTTAATTTTAAATTGGTCTTATTTTATACTGCTCTGTAATGACGACAACAGCTGAAAACTATTACATTCTGAAATTTTTAATATGGCGGCCATCTTGGATTTTGACAGCCATCTTGGATTTGCTCAACCTGGATCCGAGGCTTGAATATATATAAATGTGTAATATAATAAAGTGGTGTTATTTCATACTGACCTGTAAAGAATACAGCTGAAAAACTTTGATATTTCGAAAAAAATAATAAATGGCGGCCATCTTGGATTATGGCGGCCATTTTGGATTTGCACAACCTGGATCAGAGGCCTGAATATAAATTAATCTGTAATATAATGAACTGATGCTTTTTTATACTATTATAGGTATGACTACAGCTGAAATACCCAAATATTCTAAAAAAATTAATATATGGCGGCCATCTTGGATTTTGGCGGCTATATTGGATTTTTAAAAAGTGGATCCCAGGCTAAAATGAATTGAAATACTATTTCCTACCACCATGCCAAGTTTCATGCTTTTCACAAGAGGTGCACAATTCACCCTATTTTATGCACGGATTTCTTGGACTAATGGTCCTAAAGTTGATATTAAGTCTTAGGATAGGATGAACGCAGACCTGTTTGATAATGAAGAGTCTGCTTTATACAATATATAATACATTATAAAATACTTTGAACGATGATTATGAAAAAAGTACCAGATCTAAAATATTTATGACAGCATACCAGTAATCATTTTCTTTCAGGAATACTAAAGGAGACAATGAAGTTGTTCATAGCTAAATGCATTGACAACAACTGATCCACCCATTGTTATGGACTGTCCACTGCGGGAACCTTTTCTAAAAAATTTCAGAAAGAACTTTACTGAAATAAATAATGATTGTGAGGGTCATAATGTTGGGCCTCAAATGCAAAAAGTTCATAAAAAATATCTCATCAATGATGCAAATGCCTCGAGCATAGACAGACAGAAGTGTAAATTCGACAAGGACTCCTTTCAAGAGTATACTATCTAGATTTCGTCGTTTGGCCTGCAATATTTTTACATATAGGAGGCCCCTTGCTTAAGGTGTTGCACAAGGAAGAAAGATTCATTAATGTAGTTGAAATGCATTACACAGTTGAAACAAATAATGAAAAATGTCAAAAAACTCAAATAAATGTGTGTTTTTTTCTGCAGCCAACAGATTATTTTTAAAGTGCAGGTCACGTGTTGTATTAAATATCTTAATAATTTGAATCGAATTACTTTTATTAAAGTCAATGATTACTGGATCAGATATTAGTATACTAGTAGTTAATACGAATTTGTTCTGTAACCGATTTTGGTGACAGTTAAAAGCTTATTGTATTGTAACACTCACAAATCCCTTTCCTAGATCTAACCAGTACTCA